CCCCCCCCCCCCCCCCCCCCCCCGGGCTGGGGGAGAGGCGGGCAGGCCTGCCAGAAAAAAGGATCAGGCCCCTCGCTGCTTCCACCTTCAGCAGGCATCTGTGACCACCAGGACACCTGAGATGCCCTGGGGCAGCGTGGGGAGGTGGCAGGAGGGTGGCTGGGTGTGCTGGTGGCCAGAGGAGGTGCCACCAGGACACCCAGGGATGGAGCATGGGGTGCTGGAAGCCCAGAGCGGCTCTGGGAAGAGTTCGAGCAGGCGCCTCTGACCTGGGGCAGCACCCGGCCCTGGGGGCACCACTGCTGCAGAAAGAAGGACTGGAGCTTCCCGCAGCTCAGGGGCTGCTTGGCCCACCGGCAGCTTGCCCTCCCTGGCCACAGGAGAGGTAAGCAGGCTCTGCCAGGGGGGAGGGGGGAGGATCAAGCCCCTTGCCACTTCTGTCTTCAGGAGGTGCCTGCAGCCACCAGGACAATGACATGTATATAGTGTCAGAAAAATAAAACCCACTGTTTAAATTAAAAACTCACCATTCCAATTTAGGGGACATAGAATGAAACCCTGAAAAGCTAAACCCCCACCACATGTACGAGTGCCCTTGGAGCCTGCACAGAATGGATGATGCTAACCACTGTGAAAGGTTCCCTCAGATCAGGAAATGGTCTTAAGTTCTCTCTCTGCCTCGTTACAATCCCTCACCTAATGTAGAGCATCCATCATACTGCTCTACTGTGTAAGGGGAGAACCAACAAACCCAGAGTGAAATCAGCTCTCATCAGCTAAGCTGTGTACCCTAAACCCCAGCCCCCCATTGCAAATAATAAGGATAATTGCAATTTTAATTTAGTTTTACTTTGGGCAAGAAAAAATGTCTTTTCCATCAACATGGAAACTCCCCTGGAAAACGTCACATTTTGGTCTCATTTTCATTGGAAAGCTGAAAACTCAAAACCATGAATGAAAACTTCTGGGGAAATTTTCAACAGAAGCTAATCTTTTCCATTATCATCAAAATCTTTCATGGGAATAAAAAAAAAAGATAATTTCCCAAATTACTTTAGAAACGTTTCTCTTGTTCTGCTGCCAAAGCAGGGAAGCATGCTCGTGAAATATGTATGAGCAAGGCACATTCTGGAGTAACTACTGTTGTATTGCAAAATAAATATCTTCAATGGGAGATGCTGCTTCGGAAATGGCACCGAGAGAATTCTCCCCCGTCCCCGGGGTGTTTTTTTGCAGCCACCTGCACAGCCTGTGATCTCACTCTGCCCACTTTCTCAGAAACTTGTCCCTGGCAGCACAATGTCCTGGCCTTCCTTATATCTGAAGAAGTGCTGCTTCTGACCCATTGGGGAAAGCTCAGTATTTCATAGAGGGCTTTCTTGCTCCTGTGGGTTGATCTGTATTGAGCAGCAGCTGCTCAATAGCCAGTTAAATGCTTTAAAAATTCTGAAGTTGAAGAGGAGAATTCTTGTAAGAAATTCATGGTGTCCTTTTAAGTTTTGGGCCTCCTCCAAGCTTCCTCTTTTTTGATAAAGGCATATCAGTTAAAGCCAAATCCCTAAAAATAGAGCACAAAAACTCAGGGGAGGTCAGCTCCCATCTCACCTTGGAAAAGAAGTGGCCAGATTTTTAGATCTGCTCCATTCATACCCATTCCTGTTATTGTGGTCTGCTTTCAGTAGATGTTGAACACTACTGCAAATCTGGCTTCCAGGTGCTCACATTACATATGCTCTGAGAAATAAATTAGCTGTTATTGAGACAACCCCTCAGGGAGTAAAGTCTCCTGCTTTTCACTTTCCCTTCTTTAAATAACAAACAAGAGGCAGCACATCAATTTTCGGTCCAAACTGTACTTAATGAAATTGCAAGTTAATGGGAATCACTAGGCTTTTGGGCATCTTGCTATGTATTTAGGACCTGCCTAATACGGGGCGTGGAGGCAAGCCAGTTTGTTGTAAATTTTGAATGATATTTTGCTGTCATGGAGAAGAGTCCTGCTGTGCACTGCAAGAGGGACTTCTGCACTGAGAATCCACCTTCTATCTTACTTGAGACTTTGGTACATCAACATACAGTCACTGGCACAGGAGTTGGATCTGTCAGTTTGTATCAGCTACGATTTGGAGAAAGACTCAGGTTTCATTTAGAACCAGATGCCATCCATTCACACTGCCAGAACAGGGGGAAAAACTCTAACTCAGACCTTGGACCTGATTTTTTGTTCATGTTAAGATCCCCTGACACTGGTAGATGCAAAGGGGCTTCAGACTGAGTGTAAATGTGATTAATTCCTACTTGAAGGCCCCTTTACAAAGCCACAGAAGCACAAAGCGACTTGAATATAAATCGGGCTTTTGGTGCATTCTGCAGCAAGTTGGTTATCTATAACCCATTCCTCTTCTATAATGGGCAGATGCTGCTGAAGTACGACAAACATGGATTCATTGCATTAATCTGGCTTCCCTCTTCATTTTGTTTGTTGTCTTGTGCAGGGAATGCAAGAAGCACTCAGTAGTGTGGGTCCAGGCTGAAGAGGTCCCAGTGAACGTGTCTTAGAATATTCCTAACATAATTTCATAGTGGTCCGTTTTGCTGGGCTACCCAAGTGAACAAACCACTAGACAAGGATAATCATGACAAATCAGATATAATTAATATTTAGGGATGCACCTATAAATAGGTAAAGGCTTCCTCTGTTTAATTGGCGTTCTAAACATGTTATAGACATGAGTGTTATATGTTAGTGCTTCAGGTGTTTGAATGGTTTTCACAAAATACTTTGAAATACAAAATGGGGTTTAAACCCAAATGCTTAATCTTTAGGTTGTTATTTTGGGGGTTTCATATTTATTTGGGGTTATATATTTTTGGTTTCCCCCACACACAAAAAATAGACCCAACTTTTTCATTTGGGAAGGTTTGTTTTCTCTCCTTTTCTTCTCCTTGCCCATCTTCTCCAGTGGAAGAAGAGGAAAGGAGATGACTGAGGGGAAACTAAAAGTGAAAAATTCCACAGAACTTTTCAAACCAAATAGAGAAATGCATGGTTTTATTTTTACCAGCTCTAGTTATAAATTGTTGTAACCATATCTATAGAAGATGCTGGAGACATTTATAAATCATAATTCACACTGCAACCTGTCGAACATTGTCAGATGAAGTCATTTCAGTTGGATTCAACCAACTCATTACTTCCTTAAAAATGTGTCACTTGCATCAAATTTTCTTTGGAAAACCAGCCTGCCTGCTGGTGTTTGCTGCTGATCATGCCCATCAGTCAGGCAGCCAAGTGTTCAGTTCAGCAAGCTACTGAACTTTGTGGGATCCCCAGTTTCCCAAGTAACTGAATTTTTTAATGTTTTTGAAGTGGTTAAAGGGAAGTAGTCCTGGAAATCCCAAGGTTTGCGTATCTCCAAAGATAGTGCAGCTGAGAAGACTGCACGGCATAACTGACAGTGGAGAGAGCACTGCACAAAACATAGGCAACCTCGGAAAACCTGTAGCAGATTTCTTTGTTTTCCTGTGTTTCAGTTGATCCATTTATACTACAGGAGTAATAATATTTTCCAGTCTTAAAGGAGTTTTGAGGCTCAATTAACTAAGAGGACCAGCATGCATATAATATTATTGCTGTTATGCAAATGCAGGGGCTGCACGTATGGGGTGCACCCCGTCAGGCCGTGCTCCCTGTGTAGCCAGAGGGCAGGGGGGGCAGGCAGGAGCACCCTGCTAGGAGTGCCAGCTGGGGAGCAGAATTGGCCCCTGGGGGACACCCCCCAGGTTGCTGACTCAAGAGGCACCAGACACCCATGTGCAAATGAAAAAAAATGGAACATTAAATGAAGAGTTTTGCCAAAGGTTTTTACATAGGAAGAGCACAGCACACCCAGGAAAAGAGCATAAATGTTCTGGCAGATCACAGATTAAATCACACTAAAAAGTTAACATGCCATGAATGAGAGTGCTGACGTCTTAACCAGTGATGCAATCCTAACCTTCAAATCACACAGAGCCAAACTCATCCTATTTTCTCTCTTTTCCAGATGAGAAACCTTTTGTGGTGGAAGATACATATTTGCTCTGCCCGGCACCTGTGTTACAAGAAGTTGGAATGTAAGTTCTTGTGGATCAGGGGTTCTCAACCTTTTCAGATTCAAGGCACCCCTCATTAGACTGAAGGCATCTCTTGAAAAATGCCAGCTCTTTGCTTTTATTCATTTCTTGACTGTGGAAAAATAAGAAAGCAATTCTTCTGTTTCAGAGAATTCAGACAGATCACAATAGGTCAGAATCTTTTTGATCCTACTGGAATCTCTGGTTTTATTGTGCAATTCATGCGTAGGTGTTTGCACACCTAACAGTGCTAATATGGCCCTGCACTCCAGGGTATCACAGCCCTGTGTTATAGATGCTCACCAGTGATAAATACTGATTTGTCTGGTTCCTATTAGCATCCATTTCTATGTTCTTTGTTCATCTTGGCCACAGTTTCTAGTCCACACATTGCACCAACCCCTCCCCCTGCCCCCGAACCACAGTATGTTAGTCTGTCCAGAATGCTTTTCACCATCACTGGTCAGCACAGATCAATATTTGGTCATGGCACACATTCTGGTGCAAGAACTGGCTACATCTTGTTTTAGTGACAAAGCGTATGTAGATTTAGAAGCTCTCTTTGAAATTGTCTCAACCATCTAAAGGTAGGAATGCGGGATGTGAGCAAGACAAACTCTTATGACTTTTCATGGAATTAAAAAAAAAAGGATTTATTTAAATCTGCTGGTTTTGTGGAGCTGGGAGTTGGTTGGAGAGGAAGAAACACCTGGTTTAAGAGCAACCTTTAAAAAAAAATACCAACCAGGTGTTGCACCTGCTCATCTTTTTTGTATACTGTTAATTGAAAAATTAAGGGCTCATTGATAAGGAGCATTGCAGAAATCCAGAATGATCTGCAGACTTTTCTTGCCCTGTATATCTAGCCTGTTGATCCACTTTAAGAGCTCATAAACATGTAATAAAACCCATATGTGTCTTTTTGTATCCCACTGTGCATTCCCCACTGCTTCCCCTATAGAAGCATCACCATAGTGACTGGGGACAGGCAGGTGCATTTCTAGTTTTCCCCTTTAGAGGTTTTGTGCTGCAGCCCATCACCATAGTATCTGTCCTCTGTTTGCTTACATTGGAATGGCCAACAGGAAGGTCCCAGATGGAGTCTATAGAGTTTTCTGCCTTCTTTTTCCTTTTAGGTTACGGGATTTCTGCTTTGGGTAGAGGTGTGCTGCATGCAAAATATAAGAAAAATCTTTTCCCTAGGCCCCTGCGCAGCTTCAGGAGTCTAGGTTCAAGGAGGAATCACTGTGTCTGATCCAAGGTGGCAAATTTGTTTTTCTGTGTTGTTGGGTTTTTTTTGCAGGGAGGCAGCTCTGCAGGTGAGCATGAATGATGGCCTCAGTTTCATCTCAAGCTCTGTCATCATCTCCAGCACACACTGTGTAAGTCATTTTGACTTGCTTTGATTTTGATGTTTTAACTTATCTGGCAAACAGAATTGAACCATGTTTCTGTGTGGCACAAGTGAAAGTTTTATACAACATGTAGCTGCCAAAACTGCTCAGGTCTGGTCCACAAATGCTTCTGTACTAGATTAGGGGAAAAAACTGCCTCTTGTATCATTTCATCTTAAACCTGCTCAACAATTGCCAAGATTGTTTGGAGATACCATTAATATGAGTGTTTTCAGAGCTGACATGAAGGCTCATTGATCTGGAGCTTACAAAGGCCTTTTTATTTCAGTCTGAGTTTCCATTTCCTTCCAAGTGCCCTTTGCTGTCCTGGTGAAAGAGTGTGCGCGCACGCATGCATATACATGTTCCTGCACACAGTCCCACCAACTTTTCCACTTTGTCATATGAGGCAATGCCCAAATACAATCAACATGGACTGTACAACTCCACTTTCAGATTTACATTTGCAGTATACAGTCGGGGCCAATGCTTATCCTGTGTAAATTGTCACTGTGTCGGTTTACACCAGCTAAATTCCTGCTGCCAGGCTACAAACTGTGAGAACTGAACTTTGCCTGTGTTGTTCCATTCCTTTTTGAGGGGACAAAGAAATGTTTTCTCTTAAGATAAAAGCATTGAGCTTTTGCCTTAGTGTCACTCCTGCATGAAGCTTCATGCAGAGGAGCTGTGAACATTTAAAGCCCTAGATTTATTGGGTTAAATACACTAGCTGAAAATAATACGTGAGAAAAAATCTAATTTAAATTGTTGGTTTTCGTCATAGTCTGTTGGGAAACTACAAGATAAGGTGATCAGAATCAGCTAGAAATCAGCAGATTTGGAATATGTTGAAGTTAAGAGGAAAATGTATTCAGTCTGTTTATTAATTCTGTAAGTGACAAACATGACACTGCATATCATATTTTTCAATGTTGCATCACTTTGAAGAAGGCTGCCTCAGTCCTGCAAATGCTGCTATGTGGCAATAACCCCTGGCCTTCATGTAGTTTCATTCACTTCAAAGACTGCAAGACATTTTCAAAGCTGCAGCAGGAGGTGACAGAAGCACGCAGTGGGATGTCCTGCATGAGATTTCCTTCTCTTATTTTGCAAAGAAGCTGTAGGGCATTTATAAAGGCTGAAGTAAATATTTCCTCCATAGCAATTCACTATAGCTCTTTGTAGATGGCACGAAAGAAGGAAGGGCCTTAGATTTGGAACAATGTCCTAACTGTACCCAAAACTCCTCTCATCTTTATATCTTCTGCCCCCCCCCCACACACACTTCTAATGACAGCTCAGTGTTTGGCACACAGGTGCCCAATTCTCAGCTGCTTAACAGAAGCTTCAGTTTGTTGAGAGACCTAAAAAATCGAGGTTTCATTTAGAAATTGGTGCTCACAGCAGCCGTTTCATATGTCTTGGGGCATTCAGGTTAAAGCTAGCATGGGTATATGTGCATATGCTGCAGTTACACCTTCACTTGCAGTGGTATAGCCAAACACATGGGAGAAAAGGGGAACAGAGACAAGCATGTGGGTCACTTGCAGGTTCTTTGTTGTAGTATAGATAATCTGTTACAGGCTTTCAACCCCCCCCCCGGTTACATCAATAGAGGGGTTAGACCGGAGGATTTGGGTTCTGGAATATCTGTCTACAAATCAAAGAAAGAACGAACTCCCCAGCACATGGGAAAACTGGGGAGAGGCCATTCCAATGTACCCGGCTGACCTGCCTTGGTAATAAAATGTTACCAAGCGGTTGCTGAATGTATTGCATCCTTAAAAGATGGAGATTGTACTTCTAGTTGTCATCTTTAGCACTTTTCTGGTCTTGTGGCTCTGATTACTGAAACACAGAACCAGCTCCTTAGCCAATGTCAATTAGTGCAGCTCCTTTGACTGCATGTGGGTAGAGGCAGAATTTGATGTATTGTGTAACTGAAGCCATTCCTTGCATTTTTTTCCACTGAAAGTGTGAAATCTGCTACAACGTTTCATAGATGGAAAATGAGGAAAGCATTCAGGAGATGAGGGGTAAGAGGCATATGTGCTGACGGGCTTGGTCTGCTTCCTAGTCGGTTTTGGAAAGATTCAAGTAAGTCCTGTGCTGCAGCAGTACGGGACATTGCTTGTCTTACCTCTGTCGGTCACAGCTAGCTTTTTTTTTTTTTTTTTTTTTTAATTATGACAACAGAGAAGTGTATATAATAGAGCTGAAACAGCCTTTGAGCTTTTAGCTGTGTGCTTTCACAACTGGTCATCCCAGGCCAAATCTGGACAAGTACTTGTTTGCACTTACAACGGAAATTTGTCATTGGGACTGACTCAATTGATTTTGCTTTGATCATTAAGGGCTGATTTATATCACTCACAGATCTATATCAGCCTAACTCCTCTGGTGTGAGTGGAAGTCAGTGGACCTCCTACATTGGCAGCCCTGTGCAAGCTTTTTTTACTCCTCATGTTCAGCTTTTTTCCCTGCATTTTCTAACCCTTGAAACGTTGTGGCAGACTTCATACTTCAGTGGGAGAAAATGCAAGGAATGGATTAAATTAGAACATGTAAAGTTGCTCTGTGTTGAGCTTGGTTTACTTTGTTGTCACAGTATAAATGTTGCAGTAACTTCTGTCATCCACAGTTTCCTAGGCACTCATGAAACTGCACAAACTTACTGAGTGCTCTAAGTAACAGCAGTAGTTGGGATTTAGGAGCCTAAATCCTAAAGTGGCCAAAGTCCCAAATGCTTCCCTTATACTCCACTGGAAATCTGTCTTTCAGAAAAAAAGGTAAGCATAGTTCATGTAACAAAAGAAAGAAAAAATAAAACATGAAGATCTTTTAAGACCCTTTTGTAGTTGAGGGTCTTACAGAATTTCCATTGTAAACTTTGTTTTGGAAAGATTAATGACCTAGAAACAAGAATGTGATCTGGACTTAATCTTGGCTCACAGAGCCTACATTAAAAAAAAATTGTTTAAATTGGTCCATCTATTTCCAAGCCTGAAACATGAAATAGTCCATAGGAGGCCTGTGATTTTTGGGATTTTATTTTATTTTTCTTTCTTACAAGTCAATCACAGACTGGATTTTCAAAAGAGTTTTTTATAGGCAGGGAAGTTAGATACATACATGAGGCCACTTTAAATGTCTTGTGTTAGATATCAGTCCAGGATCGGATCAGAGGCGCACACATCCATTAACAAATAAACTGAGCTCCAAATGGAGGATTTTTGTCATGGCTAGGATGTGGGAATTGCAGGAGCCCAGCTGGACTTTGAGATTTCCTGCAGGGATAGCCCTTCGTGCAAGTTTCAGCTGTCATTTGAGCATATACTTCTGAAATCATTCAGAGGCATTAAAAATAGAAATCCACCCGGCCACTGCTACAGAGGAGACTTAACTTTAACACAGAAAAGTGAGGAAAAGTCGGGCACCGCATTCCCTACTGGTGTCAAGAAGTGACAAGGGTGTAGGTTGTATCCGTGTTGATCTAAGGACGCAGGCAGACAAGGTTCTTTGGGTGAATCCAATATCTTGGTCCTTTGGGTAAATCTGCTATCTTTTATTAGACCAACTCAAATAGTTGGAAAAAGAAGTGACAGTGCATTTCACATGGAATTTCACACCTTTCATTTCTGGACTTGAAGCAAAAAGTGCAACAAAGAAGTGCATGGCTACAGAGTGGATGGAAAACTGTGGCATCTCATGGGTTTGATGGGAGATTTGTGGCAGATGAATGCAGACCTGCCTCCATTTTAGCTGATCCATCACTCCCACTCTGAGCAAACCATGATGTCCCAGTAATCATGTGCTCAAGGTGCAGAGTCGAGTTTTAAACTTCCTCAGAGTTTACATGCATGGGTGTTGAGAACTGATGCAGTGTTCTAGTTTAACCCCCAAAGAAGTGATGGGCTAGGTATGAAATCCGGATCCAGGCTTTCTCAAGGTTCAGGGCTTCTGGGATACTCTGTAGTTCTAGTTTCAGAAGCATGATTTGCAATGACAAGATAAAACTGGGGTTGCTCAAGGAGAGCTTTGTCTGTGTTAAGTCAAATAGTCTGCCCCCTCATCCTTACTGTCTCATGAATTTTTGTCTTTGTTGTGACTTAGTATCATTTTGGATAGTCAAAATCTCAAGGACTGAAGTTTATAACAGGAAACTTGGCTGGGCCATCTTGCACACTCACAAGACCATTTAAACGTCAAAGCAGTACTCCAGCTGTCAGAAGAAGAAAAGCAGTATCCTGGAGAGCGGCCAGGAATGTCATACCCTCAATTTGCCAGGTTATAAAGTGTGCCTGGCCCAATTAATTAGCCAACGTTGTACACAGATGCTGAGAGCACTCCAGCAGATCTCAGGAGGGCAGGGCAGAAGAATGGGAGGTGATGGCAAAATCTGACCCAGTGAAACGAGACGTATCTATCCGACGAGTCTGGCATCCCACTCCTATTTCCCCCAGCTGGTAGAGTCCTTGAAGCATAGACAAAAAAAACAGCCTCTCCCAATCCCTTCTGGGTGGAGAGGAGCTTTAACTGCTGGTGAGTTCAGCCCATCTTGTAATTTCTGCTCCTCTGTGAAAGCTGATACAGAGGCTGGGGAGGTGGGTGGCATTTTTCCTAAAATAAGCTGTAGGTGAAACCTTTCAGTGCATGTTCTCTAAGATGCAGCACTCGCTCTGGCTGTACTTCACTCTGGCACCCACTTTCTCATTTTGCAAGTGCACTAGAGCTGTCTGAGTGCTCCTTCTTGTCCCAGTAGCAAGCTGTTGTGTATTCTTTCAGGTCAGGTTCCCTTTTTTTCTCGAAAGGCATTGCAAGCTACAAATCAAACTACAGCTGGCCATCTCTTGGTAATACAGATAATAGGCATTAGGAAGCTGGGCTTATTTCAGCAATGGCGCCACATGATGCAAGGAGGGTAGAGACAGAGGGATCAATTCTGCCCTGCTGACTCTCTTGCAGTCCCATTAATGTTGAGTTGGGAC